TAGTTGTGAATACGAAAGGCCTTTCTCCTCTCATGCTCGCCGCCAGGGAGGGACATTGGGGTACTGCTGAACGACTTTTACAAGGTTCGTTTTTCCCTTTTTCAACATAATTTGAGATCGTCATCAAATTATTATGTATTCAATTGTGTCAGTTATGTATAAGAACAGTTATATGATTATTACATTATTTCGTAGGAAATTTGTCCAGCAGTATGGATACAGTATCGGACGAAACTATATCGCTTCTAGAGCAACGTGATCTTGCTGGTCGTACTGCTTTAATGTTGGCCGCATGCGAAGGTCACATTAATCTACTTGAGCTATTCCTTGACAAAGGATCAATTTTAAAAACGAAAGACAAGGAGGGACTCACCGCTCTTAGTTGGGCTTGCGTTAGGGGACGCATAACTGCCGTACAAATGTTGCTCGATCGCGGCTCTGATGTCAATACAAGTGACAACTCTGGTAGAACTCCTTTGGATTTAGCTGCATTCCAGGTAAATCTTTCTCTTGTATGCACAATTCATGTTATCGTGTATTATTTTCGCGATCTGATGTTTATCAAAATATATACAGGGTAATCCAAAGCTAGTACAGCTGTTACTTGAGAAGGGAGCCGCGGTGGAACATGTTGATCTCCACGGTATGCGACCTCTAGACCGAGCAATCGGATGTCGCAATATACCAGTAGTTCAATGCTTCTTGCGTCGTGGTGCTAAACTAGGTCCCGCTACATGGGCCATGGCAGCAGGAAAACCAGACGTCTTAATAATTCTGCTAAATAAACTTTTGGAAGATGGCAATGTTTTATATCGAAAGAATAGGCTGAAAGAAGCATCGCATCGATACGCATATGCTCTTAGAAAATTCCCAACTTCGCCAGAAGAAGATTGCCAAGGACAAGAACAAAGTCATATGATGCTTCAAACTTTTACACAACTTCATATGAACTTTCTTCTGAATCTAAGTCGATGCAAACGCAAGATGAACGTTAGTGATCTAGTTTTTTTAGATGTTACTTAGATCTAATTGTTCACAATGACAAATTTATGCTACTTTTACTAACGATAATGTGATTCTTTGATAGGAATGTACTGAAGCTATTGAACTCGCTAACGAAGCCCTTAGCATCCGACCCATTTCTTATGAAGCGTTCTACGCTAGAGCTAAAGCGCGTATAGACCTAGGCATGTTCGAAGATGCTCTATTAGACGTTCAGGAAGCTCTTCAAAACGCACCAGTTCACAATAGACAAGATCGTAGAGTGCTTGCAACTTTGAAAGATGAGATTGTCTGTCGAATGAATGATGCTGGGACCAACAAAGAACATGACGATTATATCGCTAAATCTCGTCTTCGAGCATCAGTGAATACTCTTACTGAATTGTAATGATATTTGATTAGAGAACAGTCAAATAAATTATAATTATACTTATTCAATTTAAACATAGTAATAATAATGATAATTTACAACAATGTTATCATGATTCATGACACGAAGGCCGGATTTAGAAAACGGCAACAAACTTTACTCAAGTTTGAATCTTCCTAAAGTAGTTTAACAACTATATCGAAATTCAACAAGATGCTAATACTAAAAAAAGATAAGCAATATTAAGAATATAATTATTGAATGATTCGCGCGATATTAACCTCTTCGCGCTGGCATTGACGCCATATGACGTCCAGAAAAAGTCGTACCCCAATGGGCATTGACGCCATATGGCGTCAAAACGCTTTTTCTTCGAAATGAATGAACGAATTTGATTCAAACTAAGTATATAAGGGTTTTTGGGGTCGCTGATTCCGATTTTGAAATAAAAAATATAAAATTCAAAATGGCGAATCCAATTTGGTGGACTGAAATAAAAAAAATCTTAATTCTTATCAGAACGTTTTGAAAATTGGCTTTCGAGGGTTTTCAAGGATGCTGATTTCGATTCTGAAGTCAGAATTGTAAAATTCAAAATGGCGGATCCAATATGGCGGATCTCAATTTGAAAAAATTCATATTGTTAATAAAATGTTTTGAAATTTGGCCATTTTGAATTTCTCAATTTTGATTTCAAAATCGGAATCAGCGCCCTAAAAAATCCACCAAGTGCGAAAAAAAATTCAAAACTTTTCTGCCCACCGGGGCACAAATTGTGGAAATAAACGTGCCAGCGAAGGAGTTAATAAATATTTATAACTCTCTTTTTAATTATTGATGTTTTGCAATGTTTTAATACACACGAGCGTGTATAACGATTTTTTTATATGTCTTATATATTTATGTATATGTATATATGTATGTATACATATATACAAATATATATACATGTGATCTTTTGTTATTCCAGAATATTGTAGTAATTGGTTTTAGATCAGTCTAATTTAAACTATTTAATTGTGTTCTTATCAGAGTATTTTATATTTTTATAAATGGAATCATAGCACAATACGCATATATATGTATATACATTGTATATACATATATATATATTCATTAATGTATTAAATGCATAATTATGAATCAAATACGTTATACATTTTTCATTTTTCGTATATATAATCACAGAAATTTTTACTCCGGACAAAAAATCAAGTTCGTTTCTATAAGACAAGAAAAAGATCCTCATTTTGATGTTTAATCTCGTAACAATATTTATTATGCTTGCATCTTGCCAAACATGTATGAAATGATGATAACCGTATTAACAGAATAGATACATATCCAACCAATTTAAAATCAATTTTTCCTTAGCGTATATTCTCGTTAGACATTAGGCCTGTTCTTTTTGGCTGAACTTTTGCACCTTTCCTCCTGGAAAGAAAAGGAAGAAAGATGAACTGGTGCAAAAGTTCAGCCAAAAAGAACAGGCCTTATCTTTAAATATTTAAATGTTATAGTTATTAGCAAAAATAAATAACATTTCAATATTGAAAAATAAATAACATTCTTAATTAATTTTGTGTGCGTGCGTGTGTGGGTGCGTGCGTGCGTGCGTGCGTGCGTGCGTGCGTGCTTGCGTGCGTGCGTGCGTGTGTATTTGAGAGAGAGAGAGAGAGAAACAGAGAGAGAAAACTAACGAGAATTAGCTAGCTTGTACATATGTATTGATCAAAGTATTGAATTGTGCTTTTACACTAGAAAAAATATTCTTTACATAAGATTGTAATTCATAAAATACATAATGCTCATATTTAACGAATTTGCTCGAATAGCGCATAGGTCCGCATAAACGTTTATGAGCGTTCCAAACATAATTATGGACACAACTATATATTAAATGTTATTGACTTCATAACAAACAATGGTGTCAAATAAACTAACTTTTTATTAAGATGGATTTTTTACTTTTCGATATCTTGATAAGATGATTTGACTAATTACACGGAGTTCTATACACACACCCGAGTTCATTAAACGTACACGTACGTATTGGAAACCACCTTTTCTCTTCCATCGATATTACATTCTTAAGAAAGTCAAATAATACAAGCAATATAAAATTTAAAAATGTCATCTAATACAGATTATTATTATGCAAAATTATTATTATCATCATCATCATTATTATTATTATTGTTACTGTTATTTATTATTATTATTACTATTACAGATTAGCTTCAAAGTAGATCTTATAAATACCGAAAATGATTAATAACTCAAAGTGCAGTATGACGGTAATAATACAAGTACAATTATATCGAATTTTGCATCGACATCTAAGTAAGATCTAAAATATGAAATTTGGTCTCATGTGTCAGACGCGAATGCGCTGACTAATGATTAAAGTTACAGTAAGTACACTTCATTCAATTAGGTATAGGATAAACTTGGATAAAATGGTTACCATTAAAATGTAAAAAACATGCTTTATTTTTTGTTATCTTTAATAGTGTTATATTGGTATAGCTTTTTTCTGTATGGCGGATATAACACTATTAAAAATAACAAAAATTAAAGTATGTTTTTTGCATTTTAAAGATGGCCATCTTATTCAAGTTTACCCTAGATATTATGTTCAATATACATATACGTATTACTTAAAAATAATAACACAAAACTCTCTTAATGCCATATATACACTCCATGTAGGAGTAATGCTGTTTATAGTTTAAACGATATAGGTAATGTTACTTTTTTTTATCTTTATGCACTTAATTAATGTATTTAAAATACAGAAAAAATATATATTTATCATATACATAGTAGAAAATAATTTATCCAATTACACATGGAATATTTTTATCTATCACTTATACGATATCAACTGCTTCAATATTATCTTGCGTGATTTTTACATTTATTATATCTTTTTAAAAGACAAACATATTCTTTACACAAATAAGTCAGTATAATTGCAGTACAAAGAATTACAAAGAATTTGAAAATTAAATATATAATTTTTCAGTTGAAGAGATTTATGTTTTATATATATATATAATATATACTATATATATATACATCAAAATTATGTGCATTAACAATATTCTATTTAAAAAATTAACGATTCAAAAGAGAAAGAGAGAGAGAAAGTGTTTTTGTGCAGGATTTAAAATACAAGATATAATTTTGTTTTCGAGTTACACAGTTGTAATGCTTTGTAATGAAATTTATAATATCTATTTCTTTTGTTTAATCATATAAACTTCAGGAAATTCATTTTTAATAAATTATGCAACAGCGATTATGTAACATATGCTATATACATATAGACTATATGATATAGTATGATACTGTATACGTATAGTATATATGTGGACTTAAGTATAGACTGTGTACTTATATAATTATACTATATAACCGCTACTCTCTCAAAAAAAAATCTTATTAATGAAATAAATAAACAAATAAAAAGCTATAAGGTAATAATATTGGTATCATATAGTGATAATCAAATCGAACAAATAACAATAGAGACATCTAAAAATAACACAATCATATTACAAAATTTAAATAGAATGATTTAAAAAAAAACAATATTTAGGGAGTTTTTTTTTTTTCAGGCCTTTTATCGGAAAATTTATATGCGAAAAATGCAATGTTAATATCAAGAGCAAAAGTTTCAAAAGGATTGCTGCATAATATCAAACATATCATTTTGCCAAAAGTTCTTAATTACGATATTGCTATCTTACAATTAGTATACATTTCAAAGATGACAAATTTTGTGAAATTAATATTCAAGATACATCTGTCAGATCGCTGATGATACAGTAAAGAAATTTAGTCCGCTAACAACGTGTAGCGACTATTTGAATGTGCATATTGCGTTCAGACACGATTTTAACAGCATGATTTTAAAGATATTTATTATTGGAGCAATCAGATGAGTACTACTGGCCTTTATACGTATCTTTATTTTGGTAGCCTTGGACGTATCCGGATGTGTCTGCTATATCTTTTCGACCTGCTATGCCTTTACCTTTTCCTGTCTTGTCGAAACGTTGCTTATGAGAGCCGGTATATTTGCTGACATCGGTAAGTCTGTCAACTGTCGACGCTGCTTTTCCAACCTGTAAATCAAAATGAGCAAATCAGAAATGTGCGCAAATTGCATGAAAAAGCGTTGTTGATTGGTATGTACATCGCGATGAATCACACGATGAGATATACGTTGTGATGACATAAATCGTGATCAAGTCAATGATTAAAAAGAAAATGAATTTGTACAAGTAAGGAAAAACCAATTGTAGTAAAGGCTTGTAGTAAAATTTATTATATTTTATGATGCTAGAAAGAGAAAGAGAGAATATAAAATTAAATAAATAAATTTAGTATAATATACGCACTCCGCTAGCGCCCCCAGTAAACCCAGGTGGTCCACAATTAGCCATCTTCTTCTTTATTTCCGCTAATTCCACTTTTTTACTTTTAGTCAATTCTTCAAGAAACGTTTTGTACTGCTCGAGACCGAGTTTTGTGGATCTGCAATAAAAAGAAAAAAAAGTAAGAATAAATTTCCCAGGCAGTTTATCAAGAAAATAAATTCACGAAAATCAATAGTCAATATTATATCAAGAAAACAGACATGAAAAACATTTTATTAAAAGATATACTTGTGCTTTTTGAAATAAATTCCCGTGTCGGTGGTAGTAATTTTCTTTCCATCGATCACCTTCGCTTGCTTCATCCATTTGTCACTTTGACTTAACGTAATCAGTTTACCATCGCTCTTTGGTTCACCGAATTTGGAGAACGCTTTAAAGCTCGCTAAAAAGCTACCTGGTTCAGTGCTACCAGGACTACTCGGTGTCGAACTCGTTGAACCGTCTTCCATCTTCAAATTTGTTACCTCATTCGTAACCGAAGTCGTTACATCGTTGAGAGTCTCGTTTTTCTCAGTATCAGTATCACTCTTCTCCGCTTGCATCGTAATCACTGAAACGAAAATTTAGTATAGGTATAATCTATACTTAATCAAGTGCGTCATCAGTTATTACAATTAAAAAACAGCATTTATATTTCTATTTATACATATTATTTGTGATGATCAAAGTTGAAAAGAGAAATTAATTAAAATTGAAATTATTTTATTACTCCACGACCTTTCACAATTTTAAATGACATATAGTTATTCTCTTGGAATAATTTAAGGCTACCTACTTTTTCTAAGACAGCTATAAGAAATATATATTATTGTTTGTCTCGTCTATCGCTAGACAATATCGATGCACAGACAGTCCAACTGTTGCGTTCCCATTCATTATACACAAGTTCTTTCTCCGACTTACCACCGATATATTGCTGAATGACATCGAATACTTCAAGTCACGATATTCGTTTCCTCAAACGGTAGTCTTTACTAGTAATATACTATATAATAAAGTTGTTGCTATTCGTTGGAAACATTGTCATGATAAAATTTGATCGCGTATTTTCAATTTTTATTTACTCAATCAATAGCATCAGCTATCGGTGGCTACCTTTACCTGCGACTATAATCATCCGCAATTAAAAGTCTCACCTATATCAGACCATCACGAGTCGATAATAAAAAAAAAGGAGACTAATATCTTATTACATTCTTATATACGTAATATTAAAATTGATAACTCGATACGATTATATTTATTACGTATTCTTAAATGCGTAATAAATATAATACACAAATGCAACGTATCGAGTTGTCACGTTTGCTATTATTTGCGACGATTTCCATTATTTTATCGACATTTTCGACAATTGGCCTTCCAGAGCGTGGTGCGTCCTTGACATCAAAATTACCGGAACGGAATCGACGGAACCAGAATTGCGTGATTGGCTGTTACAGTATCAGGACCATAAACACTATTCATATTTTCAGCCGCCTGGTTTGCGTTTTCGCCTTTATCGAAGAAAAACTGTAAAATATGGCGTATTTTCTCTTTGCTGGTGTCCATCTTTGACGCGCACTCAAACAATACTGAGTCAAGCAATCACAAAACTGTCTGAGAAGTTTTTTTAGTACAAAATCTTATTTTTCTAACGCCATTTAGCGTAACCCGATCGCACTTATACAACGCGAGATACAGATTACTAAAGCCATCTATTGGAAAAATAATGGATTTCTTTTTACTACACCTAATATATATAATACAAGTTATTTGATTTCTCTCTCTACATTACGATTCTATATACAATTAGCGTTAAAAATGCAAATAATGATTACTAGGTCTTAGCACGCAACATTTTCACTATCTATTATTATTGTCGGAAACGAGGTTTATACACTATAAATTACGAATGCACAATCGAGACATATCGTGATAAATATTTAATATTTGATTCAATAATTAAGTTGACTTTCAAAGTATTCGCGTTTATATAACATTCAATAATAATTTTATAATATTTATGTTTTCACGAACATCGTATAATGTATAATATATTGACTTCGTAAGTATTTACGCAATTTGTCGAAATATTTGTGCAGTTTTAAACGTGCAGTAATATATTGCGAGTGTATAAATGTGTCTGGACGGTATAGACGAAGATAAGTAACGAATACGGATGAAATGAAAAATGTGAAAGATGTGCGCGTGAATGTATGTCGAAATAACAGAGCGTGGCATGCGCGAGAAACACTATAGGCACAATGTTATTTCACGGTTATAAATAGAGATTACGAATGTCGCGCGTTAACGTAATTAGCGTGATCGGTGCCGGTCGGTGTATAATGTGCCGATTGACGAGTAATAGCATCGCGATCACAGGTGTCAAACTCTGAGACGCGTCTATATGAATCGTTTCCTACTAGCGATTATTGTTATACTTTCTGTTAGAATCACTTTAATTACAATTATTCGTAGCCAGCTACGTACGTTGTCTCTTAACAGGTCAGCCGAAAAAATCGACTCACCGGATCTGTTATCGGGGAGAAACAACGATGTCAACGATGACGTCCCGTGAAGTTTAGCGTTTCTAGGTCAGTGTGCGCGTAGGTATTAATTCCGTCGCGGCGCGAGCGGGACGATGATGCGGGATGTTCCGATAGCACTGATAGGAAGCTTACGCGTTCCGCACAGTTTCATCGACGGTACGGCTTGATTCGCGTCGCAAGCGTCACAGCCGTCACAAAGCACCTGACCGCACCTCGCGAAAAACGCACAACTTCGAGGCAGACGTTTGCAACACAGATTGCGTAGAGAACTCGTGCGCGTCGCGACGTGGTCAGGCGCGCATGTATTCTATCGATCTTCTCGTCCCAGGAAGCACGCAGTCACCCTTGCCTCCCGCATCTTCGAAATTGCGTTTCATCGTCAGATGGGCTACGCGGGCTACGCGGGCTACGCTGCCTCCTGCCGAAACGGAGAAATTAAGAAAATCCCGCCGCCTCGTTCTGTCATTCACGCATGATCACGCATAGAAAATACGTGCCAACGTAACATCAATTTAATTCCATACGTTTTTCATGACTCGACTATTTCATGACTCCTGTTGCGCGATGTTGAAAATATCATTAAATCTTTAATGAAGACACGTGATAATCTGGAGTGTTTTTAAACGCCTCGGGAAGATGTGCGATTTTGTCATTCATATAAGAGTTCCTTAATTTATACGTATAAAGTCGGTGCAATTATATGACCGATATGATCGTCGCTAATTTATATCAGGGCTTTGTTTAATTAGCCTGATCTGCAAAGAATTTTCGATTTTTTTCACGAGAAATCTTCGCGTGAATATAGCTTCTGCGTATATACATAGCATATATAAACGCAGCATCACGTTCGATTGTCGTCTCTGCTTCTGCAATCCACCGTTCTAACATCCGTCTATCCTTATCTTCCGCTAGAAGTACACACGACACTCGCAATTAGCTATTTATATATTTGCTGTTACAAAATAGCAGAATTTATTCATACTTTTATTGCACGCAGCGAGTTGCACACATATCGTAACTTGGAAATGTTTTATAAAAACTTCACAATCAATTAAAACAATCAAAAAAGTTGCGCAAATGGGGGGATGTAGCTAGCGAATCGGATTGATGGGAATTTATACTATTTTGGGTAAAGTTGTCCACGTTCGATATCAGTTATCTTCACTTGTTTGATTATTCTCAAATCTTTACCTGACAATGAAATCTCTTTATAAATAAAACGTTTATTAAACCTTTTTTAATCAACCGGTCTCACTCATTTCCGTGAATCCGGCTAGAACGAAGCTGAGAGCAAGACAAACCAAGACTAAACCGACACAACCTACTACCGCGAATAGTATCCCCACTTTCACAAATATATCTTTCAAGGTGCAATTTTTAAATTCATAGTCGCGTGGTGCAAAGAATAACCCAAAAATTATTGTTACCCTATTTTTCAAGGTCTTAATTCTCTTTAATTCTCTTAAAGATTAAAAAACGAAATTCCTTTTTTGTTTCCTTAACTATAAATATAATTTTTATGCCTGTGAGAGAAGTTGAAGGGAATTAAAATTTAAAAAGTACCTGTAGCGCGTCTACTTAAAATTAAAATGTTAATTTAGTAAAAAAACGCACTACCTTCTCTGTCTCTCATTCATTCACTCACTCACTCACTCACTCTTTCGAATGCGTATGATCTTAAATATAGAATCTCGAGATATTACTCATTGTCAGTTATTTCATTGGTAGCATAGAACTTAAGCCTACACTGAAAAAAAAGATTGGCTGCTGCAACAAATTAGATGGTAAAAATATGGCATAGCATTTTTAATTGGCTGGAGTAGCCAATTTTTGGATGCGTTAGCCTATCTGTAATGTAATCAGTAAAGGATCTTGATAGGCTAATACAACCAAAAATTGGCTGCCGCAACCAATTAAAAATGCTATGCCATATTTTACCATCTAATTTGTTGCAGCAGCTAATCTTTTTTTTCAGTGTACCCAATGCTAAATTGTTACCTATAGGATTACATTCCAAAACGTTCTCTCAAAGAAAAATTTTGCTTAATATATCTACAAGGTGTCCCAAAATTTGCGACTTAAAATACTGTAGCAAGATATAGTTCTCGAAAAATTAAATAGAAAATAAGTTATTTGTAAAGTTTTATTTTAAGCAGTAATTTTTTTAGATAATATAAGTTTAAATATGGCCAATTATAGACTATGTTTGGATGGCTACATGTCAATGTCAATGAGTTAATCGCGCAGGCGGTATAGTATATATTAGTAAGCGTTGATAAGCACGCACTTCAGCGCGTTCACTAGTACTGACCATCTAAGCTAAACATATAGTAATACAAATTTACGAATAATTTTTTTTACTTAATTTTTCTTTCAAGAAAACTTTCTTGTGGTATTTTGTGTCGCAAATATTAGGACTGAAAAGATCAGACTATTACTGCCGTTAGAATAGAAAGTGAATACTGTAAGTATATGAATCTCATTGCGTATGAATCTATAGTCTATCTACTACACTGAAAAAAAGATTGGCTGCTGCAGCAAATTAGATGGTAAAATATGGCATAGTATTTTTAATTGGCTGCAGCAGCCAATTTTTGGTTGCTTTAGCCTATCTGCAGTGTCAGTATAGGATTTCGATAGACTAACACAACCAAAAATTGACTACTGCAACCAATTAAAAATGCTATGCCATATTTTACCATCTAATTTACTGTAGCAGCCAATCTTTTTTTTCAGTGTATATATATCGATATCGTTAACAACATTAATTGACAACCATCGCACCGGTGAATCGATGATCTTCCATTAAGATTGGCAGCGCAAATTCCAATTTCAATTTCCAATCTTAATAATATTTTGTCTCTCTTTTTAGAATACTGGGGACATTACAGCCAAGTTAAGATATATTATACGTAAGTTAAAGTACGTAGCACGAATGATTACCTGTTAAAAAAGAATTATATATGCATATCATCATATATATTATAATAAATATATTTATATATATATATATAAAATTACATATATATTTTATACATTATATTAAATAATTTATATATGTATATATAATATATATAAACATTTTTTTCTCATTTCTTCAAACTTTACTTTTTATTTTAAAAATACAAAATTTGTCCTAATTATTTTTCAATTTTTCTTATTATTTTTTTCTGTACATAAGGTAAACTTGGGTAAGATGGTCGTCTTTAAAGCGTAAAAAACATACTTTAATTTTTGTTATCTTTAATAAGTAGTGCTATATTGGTATACTTTTCCGCCATATACATATGGAAAGGATATACCAATATAGTACTACTTATTAAAGATAACAGAAATTGAAGTATGCTTTTTGCGTTTTAAAGATGACCGTCCCTATCTAAGTTTAACCAACAAACGGAGATATTATATATACATACAGGAGAAAGAAAATCTATATTCTATATGTATAATGAGCGCGCATTAATTATTATATGCATATGCCCCAGACAGCACACAATATTTATAAAATATTTACAAAATATTTATAAATATTTATAAGGCTTATTTTAAATATTTTGTAAATATTTTTGTGGTCTTAGATTGCATAGATCATAAATACTTATTATAAATATTATGAAATATTTATTGTAAATCTTGTAGTACACGATTGTGTTATTTTAATATTAATTCATTACTACTATTACAAAAAAAGTTCGCTAAATTATATTTTTATTGATTGCATAAACTTCGTTGCCTTAGGAAGTTAGAAGTCCTTTCTCGTAAGGCGGAACAGAAGGAAATTAAATAAAAGAGAAGATCACATAAGCGTTTTGGAAATTTTATGGAGGTTCTCTGAAAATTAAAAATATTATTAGTTTAAAATCGAAATTATCTGCCGTAAGATTTAAATCATATGCTTTTTCTGTGATTTGAGATTTGACAGATTATAGTTTCGTATAAAGCTGATTCTACAATGAGTCGGTAGTCGGAAATCTTAATTAACCAGTGGTGATGACTATTGATTTTTCGCATCTAAGTACAAGTTATGTTAATTGTACAGCGAGTTGTGTAGCTCGACTAATATGAAGGAATAAAGTCGAATTTGATCGTACGAGTTAACTGTTGGCTAACTTCATCGATTCATTGATAAGACTTAGGACTGTTTAGAACTACCGTAGATTATACTGACAGATACCGGATCATTGGCTGCATGTTTTCGAACGCAGCCATTGTAGAATAACAGCTGACGCAAGTTCAACACAAGATTAAAATTGAAACGTTACAATACGTACATCTATTTTTTTCGAAAATTGAAATTTTCAAATTTTTAAACTTTTTAGAAAGATTTTAGCTAGTCATTAAAAAATGATTATTAGTCAATGGTGTTTGAAAAATAATAAAAATGCGTTTACTAATTAATATATTGAGTTGTTAATTCATTCTCTTAATTGTTTACTTGAAATATATTTACGTACGAGAGAGAAGGGGAGAGAGAGAGAGAGAGAATGTGTTTGTGTGAGAAAATTTCACGTCAAATTCACGGTATGTTTCGGCGCTAAGCAAGCACAGCGTCATGGCGGAATGTTTACGTGGACATGGAAGTGTGTGATCAATATTGACAAATGCTTCCTAATATATGTTTCGATTAATTCTTAGCATATATTATTGAAAACAACAGCCCACAATTTTGTAATCAACCTTTTTTTATAGTTTTATTTACGATCGTTATTGGTAGTGCACTAGCACCATCTTATCAAGACATGTCATTAAGTGGAAGCAAAATGGAGCAAAACGATATTAAAACCTTATCTACAGCATGTAACAATTTTATGCTTCCGTTATACAAGGTACATAATCACTATATTTTTATATTTTATATAAACTACATACAGGAGAGTTTTCTAGTTTATAATTTTTGTCATTTCAGAGTTTAACAACCAACACTGATAGCAACGTTGTAATTTCTCCTTTAAGCTTGCATATGATATTATCTTTACTTTCTAATGGTGCTGAAGGATCAACATTGAACGAACTAAAATCTGTTCTTCATTATGACGATATAATTTCTGTGAATGATGAATTTAAAGCTCTGATTGTCTTGTTGAAAGTAAGGTTAAGAAAACATAATATCTAATTCTCAGAGACTCACATATACATTTAAATATATTTTAGGACATTGAAAACATTGAATTACATATAGCCAATAAAGTATATGTTCAAGATGGATTTGATTTAATGGCTGAATTTTTAGCGATATGCACAAATATATTTCAATCTTCAATTTCAAGGTTGAATTTCAAAAATAATGAGCTTGCTGTAAAAGCTATTAATTCATGGGTTCAAAAAGCAACAAATAATAAGATATTTGACATAATTTCTTCTGGTATTACATGATAATTATAATAATTCAGTATAGATTAACACACTATACAAAACATTTTTATTAATTAAATTATTTTGAACAGATGATATTGATGAAGATACAAAAATTATGTTAATAAATGCTATTTACTTTAAGAGTAAATGGCTACACAAGTTTGATGAAATGAATACAGTAAAGCGCAAATTTCATATTTCCAAAACAGAAACGAATCTTGTTCCGACAATGTTTAAAACATCAAAGTACGCTTATGGTAAAATACTTGCTTGGAATACGACATTTATTGAAATTCCATACTTGGTAAGTGATTACCTATAAAAAAGACTTGCAAAAATAAAATTAATTTAAAGTACAATTTTGCAGAATCAAGACATTGCAATGATAATATTATTGCCAGATAAAGAGGTCGAATTGCACATTTTAGAAAATAATTTTAACTGGGAAACGTTGGCAAATGAACCTAGGTCTATCGACGAGGTTGCACTATATTTACCTAAATTTAAGTTTGAAATTACCATAGATCTGAAAGACACTTTACGTAAGGTAAGCAATATGAAATTAGTGAAATACGTTTTAAACAGCTGATACATAGAAATATATACTCGTAGATCGGCTTAAATACAATTTTTGAGGATGATGCGGATTTTACACAGATCTCAAACATTCCTTTGAAAGTAAGTCATGCATTGCAAAAAATTTTCATAGAAATTAATGAAGAAGGTTCTGAAGCTGCTGCTACGACAGGTAATTTATCTGTCTCTATGAATGATAAAAAATTAGATGAATTTTATAAGTGTTAGAATAAGGAACTACTTGTTACAGTTGTGGGAATGAGACTGAAAAGGATGGTAACTTTACCAATGGAGTTCGTGATAGATCGTCCATTTATGTTTGCAATTGAACATAAACCAAGCAGAGTACCATTATTTCTTGGAAGTGTGAGGAAAATAGAGTTTCTCCAAGAAAAAGATGAATTATAAATTCTGTTATATTTTTATACTTACCTAATTACTTTATCACATTATATATATACAAAGTTAAAAGGATAAGAAATAATTTAATACTTTTAGATATAATAATAAATGTATTTTGCTATCTCTTTTTATTATATTATCAAGATTTACTTTTACAAATTTAAAAAATTATTTTATTGTACAAGAAAACTTTAAAAGAAGGTTTAACACGCATGGATATATCTATTGATTAATAATTCCTAATTTGCAAAAATATATCTGTGATACACAAAAGACATCCTAAATTACTCCATTCATTTTTAACAAAATAAATCACATTAAAATCCAAATTGTGAACGATAAAATATTTTAAAAGAATTTAATATATATAAAAGATTTTTAAATATATAACGTAAGAAAATTAAAAAGTTTTTTTAATATATAAGAAAGAAATTTATATATATATATATATATATAAAGCTTCTATGTATCTGGCGATAACTTTCACTGAACTATCTGCTTCCTGAAAGTTGACTTAAGACTAGATCTTTGCTAAAGTATTTAATGCTTAAAATTATTAAATTATATTAATAATGATATTTCTTTAAAAAGAGAGAAAGAAATTTTATAAAGCGCTATTTTCTATACATGTAATTAATATTTTCAGACATTTCGATTTAGATTTTATAGAGTGCAAAAAATGCTAGTACTGTTATTTTATTAATGTCTGCCTGTGACGCGATCTAGTATCGTTTGCGTCAACACCTTCTCTGCCATGTTTCGTGCAAAATTCGTCAATTGATCTCGAATGCCAGGACGCTTGGTAGTAGTCATATAATTCTGACCTTGATAACGTCCTTCGGGATAATATCCTGCTTGTGGATAATATCCTCCTTGCGGATATCCTCCTTGCGGATATCCTCCTTGCGGATAATTTTGTGGATACCCATTTGAATAACCTTGATTAGAATGTGGAGAATGTTGATTATTGTGCGGATATCCGGTATTTTGAGCCGGATAGTTACCACCGTATGACGGATTTCCTTCTGGATATACGGATGTGCGTGGATTGCTCGGATAGCCAGCATTTACAGCGCTAGCGCCGGTTCGTCTAACAGTCTCCTCGCCATAAAAATTCCTAGAATTATCTGGATATCCTGAAGAACCGCTATTTTTACTTGGATATGCAGATCCTGTTGGATAACCAGAACTATCTCTAGATGGATAATTAGATGAGCCACTCGAAGGATATCCAGATAATCCACTGTTAGAATATGAATGGCTGGGTGATCCACTGGATGGATAACCAGAACCACTGTTTGGATAACCAGATCGCGGTTGATTTGACGAATCAGAAGCTCTCGAAGATCCGGAATTTGGATAACTGCTACTACCAGGATATCCTGAACTGGATGGATAACTGCTACTACCAGGATATCCTGAACTGGATGGATAACTGCTACTACCAGGATATCCTGAACTGGATGGATAACCAGAAGATCTAGCAGGATACGATTGGTCGTCTGAATTTTTAGAAGTATCTGAAGAGCCGTGTGTCTCGGTTGCCGTTGGATAACTAGTTTGCCGTTTTGGAATTGTTCGTGTCCTCATTTCATTCTCTGCATACAGTAACAATGCAAGTTATAAAAAATACTCAGGGGTATAAAGGTGAAATATAATCTATTTTTATTAAGAAGCATCATCAATTGTTGGACATTTACCATGCACACATGCAGATAAGACTTGCACTATAGCACGCATTGCAATATAATTGTCTATAAGATATTTTAAATAGAAGAGATAAGATAAATTATATTTGAATTATTTAATTTTACACAACGTGTTATAAATTGAATTATATTGCTAAACATTCTGAAAAGATAAAGATGTGGAACATAATATAATAACTTTCATATGCATGTGCATAGCGCAAATGCAAATTTGTATTTGTATGCGTGCATATCATTCATAGTAACTAAATGGCTAAATTAAAGCAAAGGTGCCTTACTTGATATCTCAAAGTAAAATCATTTGGATTATATTGGAATTACTAGATATTAAAAATTAAAAAATAATAAGAAAGAATTTTTCAAACACCTTTAAATTAAAAGAAGAATTATATCTTTGATCGATTATGTATTATGTTAATCACACAGAGCACAATTTTTTTATATAATATCAATTTAATGAAGCAGTTTTACAATTTTACGATTTTTTTACTATTGCATATCTAAAACTGTATATTATTTAAAAATTTATAATCTTTGTAAATGAAGTTTATTCCAATTATTATTAATAATTAATATTACATAGTATTTATTATGCCATAGATCAAAGGAATATAATTTAGTGCTGTATATGTAAAATGATATATAAAATGATATATAAACATCAATATTTGCACCTACTTTACATTAACATTTTAAAATTAAAAATAAACGAAATATGTAAATAAATTTTTAACCAGAAAATGTCCAAATTCTGTTCCCGTAATTATCCACGTGAGTGTGAGTATTATAATAGTTGTTTCCATTTGTTTGCATAGTGCTTCTGGCAGAGCTGGTCGGCCGAGGATGACGGTCGTTGCCGAATAAACGATGGAAAATGGAGCCATCACCTACGGTATTTCTGGAGCCGGAGTGACCGCTATATCTTCCTCCATATGATGAAGATCTAGGCGGAGGCGATGGCACGCTTGTTGTCGATCGATGCGACACTTGGTTTAGTCCCACAGGTAATGCTGTTAAATCATATATAATGAAAAAAACTAATACGAAAATCAAAATCAAATTTTTACCAGTTATTGCTATGTATTATGGCTGTTTCTTGCAATAAAAAATGATATAATACATAAAATATTCTACATTATTTTTAATCTTTAATAATTTCCTCTTAACATAATTTTTATATGCAAGAAGAATGATAAAATTAACAGCAATTATAATAAATACAATTTCTGTATGCTACATCCACATTTGCAGCATTATCTATTCATCTTCTGCTACAAATAAATTGTACACATGAAGAAATTTATGCGTATAAAATAAATAGTTGTGTTCCTATCCATAACGATTATAATAAATGTAACGTGTTTTTACTCATGGTGGAAGTATTACTTCCATCGTGTTTTTACTGATGATGTCATTAGGTTTAAATAAAAAGAAATAAAAAATAATAATATCGGTAATACGCAGTAATAGCTCATTTAAATCTGCTTATACGTTATATGGCGTATGAAGAGATAACATGTGTTAAAGTTCAAGCTGATAACCCATTCATTTATAAAATACCTATTACCCATGTTGAACAAGAATTGTTCACGAAGCGTTCTATAATCCGTCCAAATTATGAAAGTATAAAGAAATGACGCGTAGCTCATTAAAAACTTTATAGTTTAAAAGCATTTCTTGTAAATTATAAACGTACACGCACACATACATGCATATAAATATATAATTATGCACGAAATAAATTAGAATATTTTTATAAAATCGTAAACGTCTAATTACTAGTGGTATGGATTAAGATAAATGATATCGATGAAAGTGAATTTTCTTCCTCATAAATTAAGAAAATCATTGAATAAGAGAATAAATAAATTTGTTTTCTCCAAAACACTGTGAAATTATTTACAGTCAATATATTCACTTATCATGTTATATATAATTAATGTGTTGTATATAATTAACATGTTATATATAATTAACATGTTATATATAATTTAAAATATATATGACGATACAGTTGTAAATATATATATATATGAAAAATACATTTAAATTATAAAATTACATTTAAAAAATATCATTCGCACTTGATTTATATTATAAAATATCTGTACAAGAATTTTTATATAACACTTCCTGCAAAATACTTTCCTCAATAAATAGTCATGGACTATGCTGCAAATAAGATTAAGGATAGCAAAATAATAATCATGACGCAGATAAAACATAACACTTCTAGCTGGATCACCACCGTATCATGACAAGGAGGAATAATCCAGAAAATCCAACAAGAATCATGGAAGCAACTGTTTCGACTGATGCAGCATTCCTTCTTCCATACATGGAATTTGAGTTGTAGTTATATCCACGTTGATTCGGATAATTTTGATAGGGATAATTTTGGTATCCTGGATACTGTGGATTTACTGGAGCTTGAGGATATCCACTGTTTTGCGGATAACCCGGATAAGCCGATTGTCCTGGTGTAGGCATTCTGTTTTGTGTTGGATATGGCGGATATCCCAAGTCCTGACGACCAGCTTGGTTAGTCGATTGTGGGTACGGTGGGTATCCATGTCCAGAGCTACCGGTATTACTAGGATATGGTGGATATCCTAAATTGCTTCCAGAAGAAGATCGGTGATGTTCGCTATCACTAGATGGATATGGTGGCACTGCTGGCATTGGTGGAGCATTAGCATTCGCAAATGGATTTGCATTATTTCCACCATTCACTCGCTCGCCGTTCACATAAGACACGCCAGCTGATTCATAGCCTGTAAGGATGCTCACTCACTTCGTACTGTGCGTATGTTTGGCAAACACACAAATGAAATATTAAATTATACGAAACATTGCAAGATGATAACGAGCTGCACTAAAGTTTTATTGCTATATTAAATACTCAGAGATTATTTATTACTTCGTTGGCTCAAGTTTGGATTGAGCAAGGATGACATATATCAGGAAGTTTTTTTGTTTAAAAGAGAAATATTAAATTTAGAAAACACTAAGAATAAAATATCTCTTCAAATGGAGCAAATTATCATTGTCCTAAGAACAATTTTACATATTTATGTTTAAATTAAAAGAAAAAATGGAACAATATATTGCTTTGTATAATAAGTTTATATCCAGACAATAAACATATCAATATATGTGTGAAGATTAGGTAATAAGACATCATCAGATCTTATATGATTTGACATAAAAAAATACATATGTATGTATATTTTTTGTATTCAGTAAAAAAGTAGTCTTTATGTTTATCAAAATATCACCAATAAAACTGATATATTTTTCTTGTGTGCATCGTTCAAAATTTTATATGAATATACGTGGGTTATATAAATTTACTAGAAATAGTAAATTAACTATAACAATAGAATATATATAATATAATATACATTATAATAATATATACTTAATGCTAATAATATGCTATAGTATGTTACATTGAATAATATGCTAACAATAAGTATTGTTTTTGTACGAGAAATCTCACTTGAACAACAGTTAGAAGTTATAATTAAAATAAAAATATATATGTACGTTTTAATGTAGAAAATATGAGGCCCATGATTGATAATAAATGGATAGGATTAAGTAGATATACATTTTTTCGCTTTATCTTTTTGAAAAAATCATGCCTTCCTCACTCCAATCCCATACATGCTATAGAATACATGAGACCCATAATTATGAAGATTTATTTTGCTTATAAGCGTGAAAAAATTTAAATTCCATAATTCCAAATAATTTATTTTACTTAGTTTCATCATGCTTTTTATTCATGCATTAGCCATCGTTTTTACGTTTTCATGCTCGCAATGTATCGAATATTGAATGCCAAATATAAAATTGTAATAACTTACCTAATCCTGTAGACTTTCTTACACATTTCGGCGCGCCATTTTCGCTCTTACAATATTCATTCTCTCCGCAAACCATACTAGTACAACTTACATCTGTAAAAATTTTTTTAAAAGTTATTAAGATACAATATAAATACACACAAAAATACACATTCTAGCATAAATAGCCCGATATTAACATATGCGTGCATGCGTACGTACGTAATTGTATGTGCACACGTGTGATGTACATATATATTCTTGATTTATAAGATCAATTGTTGAAATTGTTGAGATAAATTAGCTATTATGTCGTTTCTTACCACTTGTCCTCCGACAAGTCGGATATCGTCCGCATTTATCTGTATAGCCGTTACAAGGATCCTCAGCCATTACACATGTTTCATCAGTACGGCAGCCAATGTCCTTACAGGTTCTTCCATATTCTGAAAAATAAGAAAATGAAAACACATATTTTCTCTCTTTCTTTCTCGATATATCATGTATAGTAAAATTACTATATTATATATAGTAAATTTAATCGCTAAGAGATTTATTTATCGTTATTTACTTACTGTTATAAGATGCCGCATCCGGAATAAAGGCAATTATTAGCAACGCCCCAGAAAAAAAATTAAACACAGCGCGCGAAAACATTCTGAAAACAAAATGGATTTCATAAAGATATAAGATAAAATGTTTATAATAAAAAATTAAACATAAATTACATGTAACGTATCTGTTAGTTGTAATTTCCCACTCAAACAATATAACTGTGATATAACACGTAGGAAATTACAATTAACAGGTACGTTACATGTAACTTTGTGTTCACTGGGAAATTATCGAAGAAAGATAGAAGAAGAAACCGCTAATATATTTTATAACCAATCCTTTACCAAAATTTTCTATAGTTTTTAAAGTGCTCTTAAAAAATTATATAGAAAAATTTTTGAGTGTCAATTATACAGTAGATGGTCAAATATTTCTATTAGAATGTTTTAAGGAGATCGAGAAGCCGCATCGTCTATATTTTATACACAGTTCGGCATTTGTTTTATAAATATTACAAAGACAGATTTCAGTCGAGTCAATGATTTTTGCATGCAAAAGTTTAATTTATGACAATTCGGAACTTGGCATCTCATAGTATTCTCATACTGTTGCTATCCTTGGAACGAACACGACGCAATATCATCCGAGAGAGAAGGAGGGAAATTCATATACGTACACTCTACATACACACTCTACTATACATATACAGTTCGTAACAATCTTTTTATTCGTATCGCTAAAAGGATCGCGAGAAATTAAAAATATTGATTAAGACAGAAGGTCATGTGTTTCTACATGAAGAACTATACTTCCAATACTGAATATAAAAGAATTAAGTTTTGAACGAATCACAGAAGTTTCCCATGAAAAGCTAGGAAAAATTGCATGGAAAAATATCAAGGTGCATTCATCAATCAGGGCTGGGTATTTTTGCGTTTAAAATGCCATTTAAAATGTAATTCTATTTAAAATGCTAAATGTAAAATACTTAAAAAAATGTATATTAAAATGTATGTA